CTCTCTCTCTCTCTCTCTCTCTCTCTCTCTCCTCGTGTTTTATCTCCATTGTAGTTCTTCGTGTAGGGTTGCGGATTGATTGTTTGCCTAGTATGTGCCTAACACATGTATGTATGTGTGTATATAGCAGTCTTGTATATTAACCACTGTTAAAAGGCAAAGCCTCTGTGCCCTGGGTTTTGCTCCTGGGTTGTATCACAATAGTAGTCAAGCTGCAAACACTCTGGCCAACTCTGCATTCAAATATGCAAGGGGGTAAGAACGTCCCCACCGAGGCTTCCCTGTTCTCTCCAGCTCAGTGCAAGCGACTGGATGGTGGCTTGGATAAACTGAAAGAGGCCACAATTCAACTGGACGAGCTCAACCGGAAGCTAGCCGAGCAGAAGATTGTGCTGGCGGAGAAATCGGCCGCCTGCGAAGCTCTGCTTCAAGAGATCGCCACCAATACGGCCATCGGCAAGTTTTCCACCCTACCTTGTCCGACGGTGGATTTTATTAAGCTGTTGTTTTCTTTGAAGAGGCTGTGAAACAAGTGCAGTCAAAAGTGGGTTGAGGGGATTTATTTTTTTATTTATTTTATTTATTTTGTCAAGCGATTATAAGATAACAGGTATGAGTATAAACCTAGTTATGAATACATGAAATGGATACGTATAAGGAAAATAACCTAGAAAATACTAGAAAAATGTCTAGTAGCATTGGGGAAAATGTGTTCCTGATAGAGTATTTGTAGTTCTGTGGGGTCCTCTGAGCATGGCGGTTTCCTTGCAGACGTTTCATGACCCAACTAGATAACATAATCAGTGCTAGAAAAGAGGAGGGTTGTGAGGAGGAGGAGGAGGACTGGGGTCCTTGGTGCTCTCTGAGGTTGGTTGTTTTCTTGCAGCTGTTTTTACCCAAGTAAATAATGTCATCAGTGCTAGAAGATACGGGTTTGCATGTATACAAACAGCAAACCCCACCTCCCTTCTAGCACTGATGTCATTACCTAGTTGGGTGATGGAACGTCTGCAAGAAAACAACCAACCTCAGAGACCATCAGTGACTCCACAGGAAAATGTACTCCAGTTAAGACTTAGCTCACATAAGAAAAGAGAATTGCATCAAAACTCAAGGATGTTTTATGGGCAAGATTCCACAAATATGTCTTCGTTTTCCTTCTCTGCTTTGTTGAACTTAGATTAGACTTTGCACACCCCTCCAATTTTACATCTCCAGGCCTAGATGGACCCCACTCCACGGGTGATCCCATCCCCTGCTGCCTTCCCTCCCGTTCCTAAAAACATTTTTTTAAAAAAAAAAAAAACCAGCACCCTAGCTACCTCCAAAGGAATTAAACCAGCCTCTTTGCCAGGAGCTCATTTTTCTCGTCGGTTCCTCTCCTTAGCCGAGGAGAAGAAAAAACTGGCCGTCGAAAAAGCCATGGAGATCGAAGAGCAGAACAAAGTCATCGCCGTGGAGAAGCGGGAAGCCGAGACGGCCCTGGCGGAAGCCATGCCTATCTTAGAGGCTGCCAAGCTGGAGCTGCAGAAGTTGGATAAATCCGACGTGACGGAGATCAGGTTGGTGAGAACGGTCAAGGTGGCGGCCCTGAGGAAGATCAGGTTTCGCCTTTAAAAAAAACCTGTGCTGTTCCAAGCCCCAGTTTGGCTGAGATGTCCTCCTGGAGAAGGAGAGCAAATGGGAGTCAAGTCTCAAGAGCCTTCTTGCGTTCCTTCTCTCTTGCAA